GTACATAATTTAATTTGCATTATTATTATGATAGATTTATTCAATTTAATGATGGAATTAAAAAAAAATAACACACATTAATGTAATAGGTTTTGTTATTTAAATCTTATAACCTATTAGACTATTTTTTAATCTACATTGTTCGTCGGATGTAATATTTATGTAACTTGAATATATAATGTTCTTAATGTAATGACGATCTTTTGTATAATATATGTTCATCAAATAAACGTTTATTTCTTGCAATGTATAGTTTAAATGAAAATCATTGTATTTACGCAATTATTTTATTCGATTATTTGATATCAAACACTCCTTTACGTGTTAAAAAATTAATTTTCTTATAAAACATTCTGGTGCAATATTTTATTTTTTCCGCAATTATAAATTTAAATAATTAAATTCATGTTGGCGATCTAATTAAAATCGGTGGTGATCTCAAGGTTGAGAAACGTTGATACGTAATCCCCAGAAGACAACGTACTGACTGTGATATATAGGACATGATTACCTATTAAGAGAAACATAAAATGTTTATTTTAAATCTTTGATAATAATATTTTAAAATTATTTAATATTTCATATCATGATTATGATATTACTATAATAATCTTTGACACAGTGTATCTGTAAACTAATAATTACGTAACAAGTACCTATACCACATTCATCATTTATGTCTTATATTTTTGTGCGCGTACATGATGTATGTAAACTTATATAAGTATATATATATACCTATATTGATGTATACTTATAAAATAAAAGCAATGCGGTTTTAAAATCACTAAAAAATTAATGTAAGGATAACTAATACTACATGAAATAGCACATTGACGAGTTTTGGCCCAACTTTAATGAACGCGTTAACAAAATCTTCTCGACATGCAAGTTTACAAATTATTTTCATTGTTATAACGAATTGTAGATATTGCTGGAGTATGCAAATCAATTGCCATGATTTAACCTCTCAAATTTCTATCCAATAACATTTTGACAGTTGCATGATATTTCTATACTTTTATATATTATTGCAGAGAACTTTTTTTTTTTTCAAAATAACGTACTAAATCGAAGATGAAAGTACTCGAATTTCACATAACTGGTTCGATATCCTAATACTATGGCAAATTCAATAAAAAATAATTCAAATAAAATACTTTTAATTAATAGATAAAAGTTGTCATGTAGGTACATTACAAGCTAATTGATTTGTCATAACATTCGTTTATTTGCATTAGAAAATTTGGCATAAGTACACGAAAGGCGGGATTAAGATTGTGTTCCGCTTTTCATATACATGCGTGTAAAAATTAACACGCTAAATCGGTATATATAGATCGTAATATAATTTATTCTGTAATCTGTGTCACCACAAATGATGCATTTAGAAATTAAACGTCTTCAAAACTGCAGTGTACGTTGCAGTATATATGTATATTGCGTATACATTCAAAATAAAATTCATGGAGATTCAAAAGAACTTATTTGTGGGAGGGTTTATTTTATTAAATGTATTCATTATTTTAATAAATCCAATTTAGTTATGTACATATTTGGCGTAAACATAAATCAAATAGACGAAATGTAATCGATTTTCAAGTCGTGTTTTCTTTAATATCGAGGGCTAAGTGATTTGTATACAGCTCGTATATATTTGTATAAAACTCCATTGGTTTAATTTAAACTTCAAAGCTGTTTTCTAATATTTATAGTATTTTTTTAGTTTAACCGTATCAAATATAAGTTAATAATTAGCTTATAAAATGCAGAATATAGTTATTCTATTGACTCTTATTATATTAATTATCGTTACGATATGAGGAGGATTTCGATCGTTATTTTTCACACATACTTATGGGCTACGATCACTTAATGCAGTGATGTTTTAATAAAAAAAAAATAGAGGCCCGTATCTCGATTGTATAACAATAAATTAAAAAAATACCTTCATCCCTTTCCGCCAACATAAATAAATCACTGTACTACGGTCTAATTCCCCCTCCTTCGTATTCTATAAGTGTTTGAGCAGGTTATTGTCGCAATGGCGATGATAATGGTGAAATATAACGCGCAATAATAGCGTAAAACTGTTGACGGTGCAGCGGCACAGTTTTCAAAGAAGCCCTCGAATAATCAAGAACTTTCATCAAACTTATTCCGGATGTTCAATTTTCATAATCAAAATTGTGCTTAAAAGGGTATTTTTAATAGGGTTTTTAGGGGAAAAGAGTGTGGAAATTTGCATGAACGCATGTAATATTTTTAATAACAACTAATAGTTTTATTAAAAAATGTTAATACGATCACAATAATACATGTAACATACATACAAGCAATACGCACCCGGCCGTCGTTACTGTTATTGAAATTAGAATATGATATTTGACGTTCTCATTGTTCTTCCAATGAAAATCTATAAACTTTTTTTTTTGTCGGCTTGTCGGCTGTCGCCGTTCGTTTCCTATTCTATTTTCTACACACATCGTGTCAACGATGAACGAATTAAAATAATTTAATTTTTTTTTTTTATTCACCGAAATGGTTGTCGACGCATATAATACATTATGTAAATAATCTGTATCCGCCACCGTACGTGTTAACGAGCCGACCTCAAGTAGGTTAAGAATTCGTATGGTAACTCGAGTACAATAATATTGTCTTTCAACAATTTAATGTACATATCAACACAACTCGAGACTCGATTGTACAACACTTCTAGAATATATCTAATACCTATGCATACAATACAAATTACAAAGTCATGAATCTTTTACTTGGAAAATTCGCTTTTTGGTTTCCAAATAATATTTTATTGTGCCGAGCGACGGATCATGGTCAAGTCAAGTAAGGTTTTTTCCATTCTACCGTTTTAGTTCGATTGATTTCGTATTCCGTTAATATACCTCCGTGCCAATTATTTGGTTATTTTTAATATTAAAATGTTAAAAATAAAACATTGTTTTTGCGCATTCATTCGAATGTTAAGCGTTTTATAATTAATATATTAACTACGATAACTGCGTAAGTACAATTAATGCATTTTTTTTTTGGTTAGTGTTGTTGAGTTCTAGAAATGTATGTAATTTTGATACGCATATGGGATGGGTTTTGAGTTCAGAAAAATATTCTTCTAATCATACTATTCGATTTTGGATATCCCTGGTGTGCGCGTACATAATTTCACTTCGTTCATTCGCACGCGCTGAAACCCTTTCACGTTCTCATCGCAATTAAACTGATTTTAATAATACACGACGTCAGACACACGGCGTTTTAGGATTGTAGGGCGTGCGTGGTACTCGGGGAACCCTTTTTTAATAAATCGGTCGTCACCGATGTGAACAGGCAGTTAATTTAATGCTTTACACGACGGTTTTCCGGAAGTGTCCTATTTGGTGGTTATCTGTGACATAGTTGTTATAGTACACGGAGACCGAGGACCGCTGGGTTCGTGTTTTTTTTCTGCTGCGCAGTACGAATCTCTTCAGGTACGGTTTCCTAGACGCGACCGGTCGCCGAGACAGGTCGCTGCGACAGTCGCCGTCCGACTGTTAATATGTAATTCCTATTATCTGGTTTCCAACGCACGACTGTTGTCGCGCGACTGAACTTTATCGTGGCGACCGGCGACACTACCGGTCCGAGAGCAGTGTATTGCGACCGATGCGCGCGACCGTCGATTTTTTTTAGTCACAAACCAACTTTTGGGTAGTGAATTTCGATCATCACGTGCATGAATATGGCTAAATTGCATTTTTCGGGAGAAGAAGAAGAACAACTCATCGAATTGGTTCGAAAAAATGTTGAGTTGTTTGATCTGTCACACAACAAATATAAAGATGCAGAACATAAAGATAGTATTTGGTTAGATATTGCTAACACCATCGGGAAATCTGGTATGTAATATTTATCTATAACATAATATATAATCTAGCAATAAGATTAATTTAATACAATACTAAACACTAGCACTCACTGCACGAAAGCCACAATGATACTGATTACAGATATAGAATTTGATAGTTTTTTTTTACGTCACCGGAGACTGGTCTCGGCGACCAGTCGCGCCTGGGAAACCAGCACGCGCCAACGACAGGTTATAGCGACCGATCGCGGCGACCTGTCTCGGCGACCGGTCGCGTCTAGGAAACCGTACCTTTCACAATAATAACAAGAAACGTGCATTCAATGTCACAAGATCATCGGCACGGGGACATTTGTCGCCTGCTCTTGACCCGGGTCCAACAAAATAAATCGGATTTCAATACACAATACCAAATGTGTTTGTCGAGCATTATAACTATTAATAATAGGTCCAACGCTCTAGCCGAATAAATCCGTGTTTGCAATCTAGAGGAACACGAAATAAGTGAGACCTACAGGGATGATATTTTTCCCTGCGGATCCCACGAAACCCAAAGATGACCGTTGAATACCTAGACCGGCGGTTAGCACTCGGGGATTGAAGAATATTTTTATTTTCCGGGAAAAGTATTTGTAATCGATGATGTTGCCGACAACGCGTAAATGTTTATTTTTTTCGTACACGCCGATGTCACCGATGCCACCCGTTGTGCGTGTTGGTCATCGGTCCCCCCCGACACAAAGGTTTACCGTTCAAACGTTAGTGTTGACCCAAAAGATGTTATACGTTATGTTATACTAGTGAGTTATTGAACGAGATGTACCGCACTCCGAAACGACAACCATAACAATATTGTTGTGTGGCTTAGCGATTTCACTAAGCCGCCCGGCGCCGTCGCCGAAATTTTGGTCAAGGTCGCCGTGTGTTCGGTTTCGATTCGGTCACGTCGGTGCGCCGTTACGTGAACGTTATTCTCCTCCTCCGCCGTCGCGGACTCCGCGTGCGTATACTACTACTGTGGTTATCGGTCTCGCGCGTTATTTTTTCCCCGCTTTTTCCCCCGTCGTCGTCGTCGTCGTTATCTTCATCCGTCACCCTTCTCGATCGTTGCGATAGCTGTTTAGTTTTCCTACGTCGACCGTTCGGTGCGCTTTCCGTTCCCGCTGTGCGCCCGTTTCGCAAAAATCCTATACGACGCGACCGGTGTGTGCGCGCCCGTCTCCCGACCGAGACCCACCTACGGGTGCGTCAAAGGCTTTCGGATAAATCGCCGTTCGCGTAGACCGGAACACACGACAACGGGTTCGCAACAACACACGATCGTTACGCTACGTTTCACGTTTCACGTCGTCCCTAACGGCGGTTTAGGTGTTCGCGCGCACGGCCGACCTTAAACATGTCGTCGAGCGTTTTCGCGCCGTCCTGGGGACCGGAATTGGCATCGCTGATGGAGCAGCGGTACCGACGGTATCTAGACTTTTTCGGTACCTTCAAGTGAGTGGTCCTTTACGTAACAGAACTAATAACGTTATCGCGACGATAGCAAATTTTCGTTGGCAACGCGAAGAGCGCTGCGTGCATTTGTGTTGTTACGGTGCACGTGCCGAGTCAATAGGTCGGCCGACAACAGGTGGCCAATTATAATACTAACGCACGTTTATAATAATCTCATGTTCGTTCCGACACACAAGCAAACACACGCGGTCCGCGGCGTAAATGTATCTGTCTGTCGATGTTATTTTTTTTTGTCGTTCGTGTACGAATTCCGTTAGGACGTTTTTCGAATTTTCTTTACCTTTCCCCCCCACCCACCCACCTACTGTAGTATTTTCGTCCGTCGGCAATGCGTTGTCATATGTTGTCGTAATGGTATTAGCACCTACTCCGCAGCGGCATGACGTACGTATTAGCAGTGTTATTAAGCGTTTCTTGTACTTTCAGTAGTGGTCACACGGTCCACACGATTATTTTAACGTAACAAATTAAAACCAAATTCACCCCATAATCGAGTTAAATTGATGTAAAATCACGCGTTGGATTACCGTATTGATGTTATTTTCTTGTTTCTCCTTTGTTACAATCCTAAAATAAAATCAATGGTTTCGGCCGGTGGAAGATAACAAGTCGAGAATACTCGTTAAAATTTCCCCCCCCGAACCTCCACAGCTCTCGCACGTTCAGGTTAACAAAGAAATTTTCTATAAATATGAGAAAGGTGACACGACGTAAACGATTCCAATTCCATTTCCTGTTTTGTATTACACGAGATTACGATTTGGAATTTTGGAGTACAATATAGAATAGTAAAATGGATAAAGTTACTAATTATCATTTACACACACTATTTATATATTTATGTACACACACTAATTCCTATTTAGTACGACATTATTGGAACTGTCCGTTGGCTTCGAAACGTAAAATAATAATAGCAGAAAACTGTTGTTCGCCCAAGTTGCACAGTCAATTATTTGAATTCAATCTTACCTGGTGGCGGTATAACACTAGTCGGAGGTACCGGTGGGTGTTAGGCTACGGTTACATTGGACCCGTTTCCGATCCGACTAATCGGAAGAAAAACAAAACCGTGTGTATTATAGGTAATGGCCATATTCGTCGTCCGTATCCGACGTATCTACAAATCGGACACGTCGGTTTTAAAACGAATTTATAACATAACTTGTTTTATAACTAAATAAATAATAATTTACAACTGATTTTTTGCTTTTCATCCGATCAGTCGGACCGTCGGATCGGATCGGAAGCGGATCCCATGTAGCCGTAGCCTAATGTTTTAAGGCCATCGGTGCTCCGGAGTCCCCGGCACTCTCGTGCGTAAATATTTGCACATACCGGTGCGGTGCGGCCAATACAGTTCGCGGAATAACGTCGACGGCGACGAGGTTGCGTAATTTTTCCTACGATTACTCCTATCGTTGCGGTCGTCCTGCTACCGGAACCGCCGATGATTCGCGCGTGCAAAAATACATAATATTCGCTCGTCGTCGTGGCACGCAATCACTGCGGTAATGACGTGCGCGCGGCGTGCTTTCTTGTCCGCCGCGTTGAGGCAGTCCCTATTTATTTATTTAGATTTTCCGCGTTGCACATTTTTTTTTTTTCTAAACCAATTTACCGGCTCAAGGTTTTACGATCATAAATACCACTCTCTATCTCTGTTCCTCCTGAATCGCGCATTATGAATTTTACGTTTTGTTTAAAACGGGTTTCATTTAATTTCTTAGATAATAGGTGAACATTTTTTTTTTTTTGTTGTTTTTTTTGCATTTTTTTTTCGCTCATTTATCTTTTTTAAAATGTACGTGTTTAATTATCGATTATTTACCCGTTACTTTTCTATAAGTATCAACAGAACAAATCTATTAGAGCTTGTAAAGACACATTGTCATGTTTTACGTTTCAAATTAGTTTTAATGAGATTTACTATCGGCGATATCGATAAAGTATTTGTTACGCAAGTTAATTTATCGTTTTTGAAAAGCATCCATATATTTTACCAATCTATTGATTAAAATGTAATTATATTATTAGATATATTATTTTATATATTGTTTATTAGATTTGTAGATTCAAGATTGTGCGTTAGTCCGCGTTCGTCGATTGTCATTTAATTATTTTTCATTATTTACTCTTTTTTTTTCAATAAGCCGAAAGTTAAAAAAATATGTGATAGAATTCTGTGAAAGTTTATCAAAGTATACGGTAGTACATTTTTTTTTAACACAAACTAGTGTAATCAACTGAAATCTTTTTAATTTATTAATGCATTTTGTAATTGCTTTTTTATATAAATTAAATATTTTTTTTTTACTTTTCTTCACATTGTAAATGATTTTTTTATTAATTAAATTGCCTTCAAATTCGAATCCAAGTTATGAATTATAAAAATATTTCTCATCTTAAAAACAAAATTTTTATTCAAACATTATCCATGCAAATTATCGAAATATTAATATGGGTTCCGAAACTATGGGTTTCTCAATGTTAATCACATTTTCAGTAAAAGTGCTTTATTGCAAACGGCTTATTATTTCAACCATAATATATCATATCTATCTACCTAACCTATCTTTTGTCTATCATACCCTACGACCCAGTATTGCGCTAAGACTTTTGAAAACTGTTTTAAATACTTTATTATGTGTATTTGAAACCGTTCAGTCAAATTTTCCAAATTCTGATTGGTAAATCTGACAAATTTGGTTTGAATATTTTAAAATTAAGAAATTTTAATTGTTGGTTGTTCAAAATTAAAATTAAAAACTTGAAATGTAGTCTGATCGACCTCATGTAAACAAAAATAACGAATTCTTATAGGTTTTTAGAAATCTTATCCCATTACTAGGTTGATCGGTGATATTGATATAAAGTACACACAAATGATACATGCGTTGTTGACGTTTCCATCTTTCTTACACACAACATTGCGACGACGAATTGTACGTGGGGTTGCCGTAGATGAACTGCTCAACTACAATTATTTGTGACCTACATTATAATTACATACATTATAATACATATAATACATTACATAAATTATAATTTAATATTTTATGTGTTCAGTGATTAGGTGTTGTGAATCACTTCTGTTCACTGTTGTTCTACCACTCTGCCGTACGTTGAAAACATCTAGTTGTATAGAATTGAATGCGTACAGTAGTTAGTTGATTGAAAATACGCAGTAATTTCTATAAAAATAGGAAAATATAAGCCATAAGTAATTTGACAATAATTAAGAAGCCAAATAAGTACAAACTCTAGGTATTTTATGGTGACTTACCCGTCTACTAAAAGTTTCATTTAAAAAAAAAAAAAATGATAACCAGATTTAATTAAATTATTTTAGATATTTAACGGTTATTATTTGCCTCACGAATTATTTTAATTTAGTTAATTATGACATATTTATTTGATGTATTATTTTCATATATCGTCGAACATAAGATAATTATCTCTGATTATTCACGTGAATAAGCACTCCACACTACAAGTTTTGATGATCAAAAATATTTTATTATTATATTCTCCAACTTTCTGAGAAAAATTACTATATCTTACGAGTAGGTTTAGTGCAAAAATATAATAACGGTTGATTGAATAAACATGATTTAATTTAACTTATCAAGTATCCACTATGCTTGAGTTTGAATAAAGGTAATGGCAAAGAAGAGTATCGTATCTATATATATATTAAAGACGAGTATCCTATAAAATACTTAAATTTTTATTTTATTTTTGTAAATCTAACTAATTGATTGGATTACTGACTGAAACTTCAACATAGTACTTTCCATCCATCGGGTATACTTGTACTTCAATATGAAAATTAGTAATAGGAATAATCGAATGATTAGATTATTATTTTTCGACTATCAAAATAATCGAATGATTTTATTAATTCAAATTATGGTACCAGACAATGTCACACATATTTATCAAAATAAAATTAATTGAATTATTCTAATAAATTGCGTGTTTTACTCGTTGCCCATTGGATACTAAACTAAAAGGTTGACTGTCCATCAGTATTTTATTATTATTTATTTTATTTTTAATCATTGGTATATTTCCCGGTATCAGTAATCGCCACACCAATTGGTTTAATACGTATAAATATTTAGATTGAAAATGCATTTCACTTTCACGCTTATAAGATAATCACTTGATCATTTATAGTATAAATTTTATACAACCAGTTTAAGCAGTTAAATCATATATCATTCGATTATTTGATTTCGTGTACTAATCATCCCATTATTTTTTTTTCGACTACTAATCATTCGATTATTTTTTTCGATTACCAATCAATCAATTATTGAAATCATTTGATTATTCCTATCACTAATGAAAATCCTTATTTTCGATTATCTTATAGCCAAAATAACGTATTATGATTAGCAATAGTAATTATATTATTACGAGTTGTCTCGTTGAGCGATAACAATGCAGCGTCATTCTCGGATCAGATTTTGACGAAGGCTGTTCTACATGTGTATTATCTTCCCTAGTTTGAAATTAAAAGTATTCAAAGTCCATGAATTTGGCTTGATTTCAGATGAGACGGCACAAGTTGAACCCGGTGGGGGGGGACGCGTCTTTTTATTATTATATTATGAAACATATTTTTGCCATGCCATATGCCAATCGGCAATACCGAGTGAAAAAGCCAATCGACCGCTTCGAAATCGTCATGCTTTCTTACACATTTTTTTTTTTTTTTTAGTTGCGTTAGACAATTGGGTTCTGTAAGTTTAATAGTGAGGACGATAAAATTTTAGTAGTTGCGGTTGTATTAATTATCGATTCGTGCATTCATGTAGGCAAAAAGAAACAATTTTACAGAACCGAAAAAATTACATTACCAGTAATTTGAAGAAGGATTTAATTTTGGGTGGATATCGAATATCGATGCATCGATTACATTAAACAAAAACGATAACAGTGATACTTATAACATTCGTGTATTGTTATCG